TCTGAAAGAGAAAATGTGAAAAGAACAAACATCAGAACGAACTCACACAATATACCGTACCTAGAAAATACGAGGGACTCTTTGTTTGATTACCCCGAACAGACAACCAGCAAAAGATGGTACTGTAGACAGTTGTTTGCAGGACTACCCCGTTTTGGAGATGATTGTCGCAATACTTTGATAGGTTTTAGCTTGAGTAAAGAATTGATGGTGGATTTGGAAGCTCCTAGAGAAGAACGGTTAACAACATCAGAAAGATTATATATGAATACTTGGAGTTCTTACAGAATGCCTTTAATGGCATAGATTTTGAAGAACTCTACTTAGGGGTCCATCATTTTCACACACCTTTCATCTCACACAGAGCTCCAGAAGCCGAGGACCCACTCCGCCTACCGCGGACCCTGGCTCGTGTGGGCCTGGCGACAGCACCTCTCCTGGCTCTTTCCAAGGCTTTAATTGTCCACTGCGACCAGAGGAGAATCACAAAGACTGGCGTTTTCTGGTTTGACTGTACCACTTTGGGGGTTGATCCGCGGTATCTACTCTGAATGTCTAGATTCTAGATAGATGATGCCGATATCCTTTTTGAACATGTATATAATACATATGGACATCAGTATGCACATCAGTATGCACATATGAGTGCAGTAACCCATGACATGTACATGATCGTATCCACATGATCTAAGATCATTGATAAAGTATATATGTATACACACTAAATAGTTAAGTTTATAAACTATGTGAGGCGAATGTGGAGTGGTGGGTGAGGGGGGTGCTTAGAACTCTTTGGAAGGGTAGGGTAGGGGGACCCTTTGTTTCAAGCAGCACGTGGACCAGATGCATTGTCCCTTCAAATGCAATCATCTCTGCTATTGCTTCTCCTTTTGTGAGTACCTCAAGCGTCGATCTATCTTAGCTTGGGGATCAGCCACAAGGTCATTGGCATGATGCAGAAGCGATTAAATGATATCCGGATGAAGCATGTCGTCGAAGAGGAGAAGAAAATTGTCTTTGGTGGCAAGGTCAGCACATGGCATGATGTTGAGGGAGATGAAGCCACATTTGACAAGCGAGATGTGTCCACTGAGGAAGGCTGGCAAGAGCAGGTTCAGGACAAGAAGTGCATCTTGTGGGGGCAGTGGTCTGGTCTGGTGCAGAGTGGGAAACCGCGTGCTTCTCATCCTCAGTCAGCTCAAACCATCTCTGACCCATTCCACATGCCCCCCGGTCCTGGCCCCATCACCAAGCGTGACTGGACACCCTTGGACATGAAGTACCTCGCCAACAAGCAGATCATATTCCATACCGATTCTGCTCGGGCTTACAAGCTCAAGTTGCCAGGGGTTTTGCATGACTCCGTCGTCCACAAGAAAACACGTGTCAAAGTCAATGTCAAATGGACATGGATGCAGCCCAACTTTGTCAAGGTGGTTAAGCACTTTTTTTTCAACGGGCAAGTCGATCAAAGTGAAGGCTGGCACGCAACACATAGATAGGGCATGGAAGTTTATTAAGGATCGTCTCACCAAAGGTCCTAATTCAAGGGCATGAGAACCATCCGTGCGCAAATTCGTTCTGCCAATGATGGTCATCTAGCTGCTATCCAAAAAGAGCATGCTGCGCCTGCGCCCCATGTTTCTCAGGCTGCACATCTGATTAAAATACCCATCGAACCTCTCATCTGTCTGCATCTGTCTGCATCTGTCTGTATCATCTGTCTGTATCAAACCATGCTACCAAACCAAAAAGGTCAGGGGGGCAGCTATATATATGGTACTGTATATGTATATACACACAGGGTCACCGCGGATACCTCATCCGTTGCAAAGAACAGACGACATGAATAGAGCCGACATGAAGCGAGGAATCCTGCACTCCAGAGGTTCCCATTTCTCACCCATGCCCCAGTCATTTTGAGCCTCGGCCCGTGAGGACCCAACTTCTGCCCAAAAAACCTTGGAGGTGGAAAGGAACTTGTGGAACGCCCGCGACGAACAGAAGAGCGTCGCAGAGCGAAGGAAGCGCTTAAAGGAAGCGCAACTGACGTGCCTGGGCGGAGATTCATCCTGTTTCTCCTGATTTCTCCCCAGTCGGTCGAGGGGCCGAGGGCAGATGATAGGTGTGGATCGGGGCAGGGTCCGCCGTGTGGTCCCACATGGTCCAGGAAGAGGTCTTTAGAGTTCTTTGTGCTCTGAGTATGTGAGAGGCGTTTGACACATGGACAGAACGAGCCTTCATCCGGAACTCCTAAAGAAAGTGCCAGGATGAAGAGCCCTTGAGCTGAATCCACTTGGTCCCTGCAGCCCAGGTGTTTCTCCGGTCTCCGGTGTTTCTCTAGCAATCTCAGAGTACTGATTCACACTGAGATTGACAGATCGGATTGGTTAGCCAGCATGGGCCTGCATCCTATTGCCCGCAACGAAGGCTACATCCTGACAAGGGTGGCACAGACGCAGCAATGATGCTTATCAGAACCAGTTTCATGGGCGCGGGGGTTGGGTGTTCAATGTCGCGCTTGTCTGAGGTTTTCTTTTTGCAAGGGAGGCAAACAGCACGTGGTTGTGTTGAGTTTGATCACCCATGGTTTCAACAAGGTCTCTGTAAGCTTACGAAGATGATGCCTGTCGTTTTGTTGATCAATGAAACATGTTTCGGCATTTGTTGTGGTCCGCACGAAGAGGTGATGCTACTTCGTGTCATTGCGTTCGCTCCAAACTGCCTCATGTAGCCCCGGTGTGCCTTAGGGTCAAGGCCTTTTCTGTTTGAGCGTGCTTTCAGGTTTCACCCATTTTTGAAGGTGTTTGAATCAGGGGAGTAATTTGGCACATTGGCAATGAGATTTGCTACATTTCGATGTTTGTGGTGCAGCCCTTCACCACGTGACCTCCCTACTAACATGCGACCTTATTTGGCTGCAGGTCAATACCAAGATCCCCAAGACCCCATACAAAACAACTTGGATGTTTGGCTTGAGTCTTGTCCCTCTGACTTGCATGATCCATCACCAGCGGTAATCGCAGCTTGCGATCTTTTCTGCACCTCTCTCGCGGCCTCCAGTATACGGAGGTAGTCCGAGCCCTGACAATACGCTGACCCCCAAATCAATAGGAAACAGGACCGTATATATTGATTTGGGAAATCATTACTGTACACAATATATGTTTGTGGACACCCATTCGATGTGTTGGTTCATCACACGACACACAGACCATTTGTCCAGCAAAACCCTCTGAGGATTTGGTTCAAAGATTGGCTGAAAGAGCACATCGAGTGGTATTTCGAGCCAGACACGGTACCGGAGAATCTCAAGAAACAGTACCAGGCCAACTGGTGCACTAGGGCCGAAAGGGGGTTGGAGATGAAGATCAGGTGTGAGGGTAACATTAGGTGTTGGGGCGTGAAAGCGAAACGACCGAAAGTGAACGCCCGGGCAAAGTGAACGACAGCGTTCTGTTTGATGTAGAACGATGGTAGAATCAATCTCAGAACTTGGCGGAAACCATCTACTGTAAGGGAATATGGATGAGCTCGGACCCACAGACAGACTCAGCCAAACACGGAGAAAGCTCATGCGCCTCACTTCCGGTTGCAGTGTGCACTCCCATTCTATGTCATTGCTTTCTGGACGTTCAGCAAGCTCAGCTTGCGACCTGTCAGTGAGAAGGAGGAACAACAGCCTTTCACACCAGGGGTTTCACTTGCTAGACATGATATACCACGATTTGCACATCTCAAGATGCTATCCCATATAGCAGCAAGCCCGTAAAACACCTGGAGATCCTGCACCAGTTGGCAGTAGGGAGATTCTGATGTTCCACCATACTACTTTGCGGGTGGTCAGAGGAACCCTACGTACATAGACACAGTCAAGACTCGGAGCACATGTGAGTGTTTGTGGGAGAGACATTGTCCATTGAGTTGAAAGTGCTTGCCCCTGCCAGGAGGATGAGGTCCCTGCGTGTCCGAAGGTGGTCTGAGATGTTGATGTCTTCGCCGTCGGCGATCACCTGAGGGCACCCTTGAGTCAAGGGAAGTTCCGCCTTCTGCCTCAAGCCCAGTGCCAAACCATGGCGGCTTTGCGCGTCCAGACACTGGGCTTCATGGTGGAAAAGAGTGTGTTTACAGGTCCAATCCGCACAGTCTTTGGACGGAAGGAAGTCACTCTGTAGGAAGCACAGCTTGAGTTTTGAGTGATAATTCTGTAGATTGAGTCGACTCACTCTGTAGTTAATTCACTTTTGGTTTTGGGCTTCTTGGTCCTGGGCTGACTTGCATGGCCGCACAGCATGGCCGCGCCAACGAGTAGCCTTAGCCGAGTCACTGAGCTGCTTCGACCGGACCAAACGCCGGTTACATGTGGATGGATGTATATAAGAGATGAGCAAGTGGCAAATATTACTACTGTAATCCTCACACTAAACAGCCAATCTCACCAACTCCGCAATTCAGAGGCTTGACCCAATGATCAACATCTTCAGGTCAGCCCAGAGACCTGCCTGTAAAGTTTCCAGGCGCTTCAGCACGGCGCCGTGCTGACGCGACGTCGAGTCGAATCCGACCAGATGAGCGGCACGCGCCGGAGGCGACAGAAAAGGGAGGCGACTGGTGCGACGCGGCGGTCGAGACGGTCGCTTTGATGACCATTGGCTCTTGGAGACCTAACAGTATGAATCCACTTCAAGGTGTCGGAATCGCCGGCTTCTCCGGCTTCTCCTACGGGTTTTACTCATCTCTTGACCATCCAGCCAGCTCTTGGGTCGAAGCCTCGTCGGTATCCGTCTCGTCGTCACGGCCTGTAGAGGGGTTGCTGAGTTGGTGACGAATGGCAACGGCACCGTGGTACCCTTCGTTTTCTTTTGTTCGGTGATTTGTGCTCTCTGATCTGAATCAATGTCCAGACAGGCTGACCATTGCGACTGGGTGTTTGAGGCTCACTCAGCTCCTATTGAACCATTGGTTTGGGGCGGTGTTGGCCGTGCAGACAAAAAACTGCCATGTTCTGTATCGTCAAAGCCATTTTTGGCTTTCTGCCGGAGACCCAGACGACCGCTTGCTAACGGTGGGGGGGGGACGACGCTGATGAACAAGGGCTGAGAATTGAGGCTCAAAGGGGTCTGGGAGGTTTGGAGAAGCTAGGAGGCCCTTCAAAGCTGCGAAAGCTGGAATCCGCAAGTTGTACCGCACAATCTTTTCTGCAGCAGGAGCACTTGGAAGCAACCGTCAACCAATTCCTGCCAAAAGGCTTGCCCATGCTTAGCCCAACCGCGCCCCAGCCGCCTAGCTGTTGTGAAATCAGATGGGTTTTAGAGTTCTCCTACTTCTTTTTTGCCGTGGGGGTTCAAGAACCACAGCCGCAGGTGTGTTTATAGCACTCCCTTGAAATGATCACACATTCTATACACAGTTATAAGTTATATATATATATATGCAGGCTAAATCTGATGTCTGATTGGCTGGCACACCATGTACCGATTCCTCTCAAACCTGTACTGGTACCTCTGCCAAACATGCAGAGAGAGGAAAAACCAAAGCCGACAGCATCTCCAGTTTCTGACCGCGCTGCCCTATCCCAGCAAGAACAACAGGTTGAGGCTCTTTGAAACCCCTTCCAAGATATGTTTCTAATCTCAGTCAGTCTGTTTATTTCCGGATTTCTTCCTTCAACACTGGGGGGATGATGATAGATCTGGAAGAGCAGAATTTTCTTCTTTCGAAGCCAGCTCTTAACGCGAGGTCTTTCTTACCGCTCTTAGAGGCCTCGAGCTGCGATGCAGATCCAGGTGGAGGGTTGGTTGGGTTTGGGGGGGGCGGTTGGGGTGCTGCAGTTCCTGAGTTGGCCGTTTGGTTTTGCAGTTGAAGGATCGAAGGTTGGTTGAAGGTTTATCATGACGGGTTTCAAGATGGAGGGCATCGTACGTGGGACTGAAGAGGCTGCACACCTTGTTGTAGAAGGTTGATTTGGCCTTTCTGGCCTTGCCGGCCTTTCCCTTGTATCCTTTCTAGCCCCGATTCTGACGAGTTCTCAATCTCTTTGGTTGTGCTTCGATCACTGTGCGCCAACACAGGTTGGCTTAAATAATGTTGCAAAATAGCCGGGGGCAGAGGGCCAGCTTTCCCCACTCCAGGGACGCAAGCTATTTTCTTCATCCTAAATGATAAACGTGATGGTGGATGACGAAAATAAGAAGGGACAGCCATTATCTTCCTTTTGGAAAAGATAATAACTTGAACATGAAAATCTGGACCAAATAGAGTTAGATGAGAGCTTAATAGACATGGGAGGATTTATTTGGTGAGGGATTATTTTGTTAATATTTACAATGAAGTATAATGAGATAACTTAAGTGTGCGCATGAGGTCGCATGTCATGAACCTTTGACACGTCACCCCCGTAGGGCGGGGCTCGAGCGGAAACAGGTGTTCGGGCGCGTGCGCGCGGTGGACCACGGCGGTCCTTCGTTTTGGCCATCGGTTGGCCTATCGCCTTTCATGGTAGGCGGAGCTCCCTGGTGAGGAGCTGGGGCGCTTTGGTGGTGGTGAGCCGGCGTCATGCCGACGGAGGACGTCCCGGCCTGGGACGGCGACCCGTCTTCCTTCGAAGCATTCGCCACATCGTGCAGGTGGTTCGAATGCTCCCTCAAGGAGACAGAGAGAAAGCTCGCGGCACCTCGGATCTGGCAAAAGCTGCAGGGCGCTGCGAAATCGGTGGTTCGCCACCTTGATCCAAAGGATTTCTCCTCTGACACTGGCCTGGAGAAACTCCTGCGGGTCCTCAGAGACTCGCCATTGCAGAAGCTTCCAATCCCTGATAGCTTCTCGAGATTGGAGAAATGGACAGGTTTGAAGCGAGCTCATGGCGAGGCGATCCCACAGCTGCTGGTGAGAGAGGAAGAGCTCTTCACAGAGCTCCAGCAGGCACTACAACGTGCACGCCATGAACGAGCTCGGCATGAGGTGAAGTCCATGGGTGTCGGAGCGAGTGAAAGAGATCCTCCTATGTCCCCTACGAGGTCACCCAATGTGACGAGAGCAGGATTGAGTTTGGTGAGAGAAGATGATTCTTTCGAGGCTGAGGATGAGAAGGTTGTCGAGACCTCCCAGGGCGAGAATGCTGGATTCTTTGAGCATGAGCTCAGGGGTTACAGGTTGTTGAAAGCAGCCAAGCTCACTCAAGCTGAACGTCAGCATGTCCTCACACTGACGAAGAACTCGACCCACTTCACCCAGATCAGGCAAGCTTTACGATCACTATTTTCGGATGGTGCTGACCAGGCTGACGATCCTGGAAGGATGCCAAGACGCTCTGTCTGGTATGCGGCCGATGAAGGTGAAGATTGGGGGCTGGAAGATGATTGGTGGAGTGAAGATCCAAGCTGGTGGAGCGAGGACATCTTCTGGAATGACTGGAGCCCTTCATGGAGTCCAACTTCGTGGGATGATGGTGGTTCCTATGAGGACTACATCCAGGAGAATGACTACTACCCGGAGGAGCCGGAGGAGAAGACGAATGAGGAGCTCGAGAACGAGCAGCGGGTTGAAGAAGCCTTTGCATTGGCCACGGAGGCCAACAAGACATTGGCCGAAGCAAGACAGGCTGTTGCTCGTGTCCGTGCTGCGCGGGGTTATTTTGATCCTACGGGCACGAAAGGACATCCTGGAAGCCTTGGTGGCGGCAAAGGGAAGAGAAAAGGGCCAGCATCTGGCAAGGGCAAAGGTGTTGGAGGTGGCTTCGGACCGTGCTTCATCTGCGGTCAGCCCGGTCACGGGTATCTGAAGTGCCCTGACCGCTGGTCCAAAGGTGGGAAGAAAGGTGCATCTCCATCTTCGTCGAGGAGCTCTTCATTTGGTGGCCGTGGAAAAGGCAAGGGCAAAGGAGGCTCGAAGGGCAAGAAAGGAAAGACTTTCTTCGCTGAAGCTGAATGGGTTCCTGAGGTCTACGTCATGAGCCTCTTCGACCAGACTGATTTGGAGAGCCTTGGAACGTCTAAGGTTGTCCTGGAAAGTGGGGCAACGGAGTCGGTTGCTGGGATTCGTGCGATGGCCAAGGTCCTGGACTCCCACTTGTTCACCTATGAGGTCAACATCTCCGAGAGGCCTCGGTTCAAGTTTGGGAACGGCGAATCTCAAAGAGCGGTGTCCAAGGTCTGGCTACACACTCCAGCTCTTGGTTGGTTGAGCTTCTACCTCCTTGACGGTGGTGCGGAGATGACTCCATTGTTGCTTGGGGCTCGCGACATGCGGAAGCGCCGAGCGGTGATTTCCTACCATGGTGACTACATGGTGCATCGTGGTCACAATGGAGCATGGTTTGCAAATGAGCTGATCACGGCGCCAGGAGGTCACCTGACCCTCTCTCTGGCGACCCATCGTCTTCCTCTACGACTCCTACTGGAGCATCTGGATGGACCACCCTTCAACAATCCGGGTGGCTATGGCGGCGACGATGAGAATGCAGATGGTGGAGATGATGGTCGGCCTCGACCTCCAAACCATCCTCCACCTGGGCGAACTCCTCCCGAAGGTGGACGTTCGACGACGGATCTCGCGATCCTGAAGGTGAAGATCGTGAGACGAAGAGAAAGCGAGAAGACCCTACTGCCCGTTTGTTGAAGACTACGGTGAGATTGGACGCCAACCGGCGAGAGCATCCTGATTGCTTTGTGACCCTTGGCAGTAGTGGTGATGGACACGCTGAGAGGCCTGCCTTAGAGCTAGATTCCAACTATTCTCCAACTTCGCCATCAGTGGTCATTGAACCGATGGCTGAGCCCTCAACGGCTGCAAGAGCCTCAGAGGAGCGACCTTCTTCGGAGCTTCCTGCACCCAGTGAATACATGTCGCCTTCTGCAGCTGACTGTCGTCCGTCACGTGTTGATGACATGGAGACTCACCCTCATCCCGAAGAAACACATCCACATGAGTCAAGTGCAGTCACGCAGCTGTCAACTGTTTTGCAAGCAGACGAATCACAACATGTAGAAGTTCATGAAGATTGTCAGTCAGCCATTCCGTTGAACGGTATGATCATGATGGTGACGAAGAGTGGATTGTCTGAGTTTGACGACCGCCTCAGCATCTTGGCTCAGCGGTTGCAAGAGCATCGAGAAGCCTATCCATCCCACCTGGAGGATGAAGGCATGCCCCCCGGCCACGGATCACGATCCTCGACATCTTGGATGGCCATGCCATGGCGAGCACCTTCCTGGCAAGGAGCGGGCGAATGGATCGGCGATGTGGCAAGCATGCTCTCGATGCGGTCTACGTCTTCGCTACGTGACCAAGGGCAAGGCGACTGGACAGACCAGGGCAATTGGCCCGCCACCAGATCGAGCAAGCCCAAGAGGAATTGCGGCCCGACTTCAAGCCATCAGAGATGACAGAGAAGATCTTCAACGGGAAGCTGATGGAAATCAGGGGTCGCATCCTGGTGAACAGCGGCGGACAGGGCCGGACCAATGTCCAAGCCCGAGCGGACGAGAAGTTGGGAGAAGCCTTGATGGCATCGACGGCTTGCGGAGAGACTCGGAAGACAAGTCCTACTCGAAAGAGCGACCGCTTCCTACGTCGACGAGGACAAGATCTTCGGAGGAATGATGAGGTGGTTCAAAGCCTGGAGCCAGTGCTTGAGAGCGGAGATGACATTGCCTGGGAGTGGCCGACAACTGCCACAGCTGGCTGGAAGTCCAAAGCCATTGCGCGACTTCATCGTTTGGCGGCAAAGCATAACCGGCGACTTCACTGGATCCGGATTGATGGATGCGCTTATGGACTTCAATGGCAAGGACTCCCTCTCAAGAAGTCATGGACGATTCTGACTACAAGTCGAGAACTCTGGCTTTCTCTGAACAAGAGATGTGACAGAAGCCATGAACATGCTGTTTGCCGTGGCTCTGCGGCACAATCATCGGCATATTATCCTCCAAAGATGTGCCAGGACATTTGCAAGACCATGTCTCATCACTGGAAGCGACAGGAGAACTCCTTGGAGAGATCGGTGGAAACCTACTTGCTTGAGAATGACAACACCACCGAAGACATGGTCTCTTCATCTGATCTTCGAGATCCAGTACCTGGAGGAGGACATGAGAAGCATGTGTTTGCACTATCGAGGAACAAGCTGAACCTGGAGACTGCCCCAACAGGCAAGAAGTTAGAGGCTGTCAAGCAGTTGATGCTGAGGGTACACAGGGCCAGTGGTCACGCTGGTATGTCCAACTTGGTGCAGTTGCTCAAGGCACGCGGTTCTCCTGGCTGGGCGATTGAACTGGCCTTGGAGTGTCCTGAATGTCGAGAAGCTGCTCAAGTTCGACCTCGACCACCGGCTAGCACAGGCGAGATGCCTCCAGTGTTTTCGCACCCTGGCACTGATGTTTTTGAACATGAGGATGCTAGCGGCACCAAGAACAAGTTCATCATTTGGCGAGATCATGGATCTGGTTTGACCCTCATCGACCACCTTCAGGAGTATAAGGGTAATTGGGAGCCGAAGACAGAAGATGTGGTTCGCTCTTTCTGCAAGTGGGTGATGACCTACCCGGCTCCGACTTGGGTCTTGGCAGATTCAGCTCGGTACTATACATCAAGTGCCTTCACAGAGCATCTTGGACGTTCTGGTGTGGGATTAAGCATTGCCCCTGCTGAAGCACATTGGATCATGGGTCCGGAGGAGCGAGCAATTGGCATTGCAAAGCGTACGGTGGAACGCCTAGCAAAAGAAGGAAGCAAACTGTCCGTCCCCGACCTCTACACGATGGCGGCTGGAGCGATGAATGCACATGTT